TCTCATTCATTTTTACCACTGTTTGCTCCGGAATTCTATTTACCTTTTCTCAGTCGTGTTATTACTGTTTTATTTGTTTCAGCCAGCTTGTCATCCTTCTCCAGGAACTTACTGTTAGCAAAGACTTGTTTATTGACAAATTCCTGTCTCCTTGAAGAAATGCTGAATTAAATTGTTGAGATAAATCCTTTATGTTCTTGTAAATTTTTTCTATTATTCAGGTTATTTTCTTAATTTTACATTTATTTTTGTATTTTTACATTTTATTTTGGGCCTTGGATGGCGGGAAATATACGAAAGGATAACAAACAATAGCTACACTATCTTTTTAAACATTTATTTCTAATGTTTTATTTTATACTTCATTAAAAATTATTGAATATTAGGCTTAATTTTAAAGATTTCTCAGCAAATTTAAAAATAAAATGAACCTCAGTACATGCATCTATGTAATTTATTTGGAAGAAGGTATTTCTGAACATTAATGGAAATATGTTCATTTTGGTTGTTTAAACAATACAAAGATTATGAATAAAATAAAGAGTAGAATAGAATAACAGAACTTAACAGACCTCTTCTAACTTCAAAAGAAAACTAAAATTTAAAAATGAGTCTAGAATAGCAGTAATGGAGATCAGAGGCAGAAAGACTGTTATAGAATGAATTAGGGATGAATCATGTGCCCCTTCATGTCCATCAGAATCATCAATAACTGTCATTTTCTGAGTGATAGCTAGTGATAGCTAGAATGAAAGCTTCTTTGAGGTAGCTCTGTGTCTTGTGTGGAGCTCTATGTCTAGCCTCTAGCATAATTCCTGACACACAAGAAGTACTCATTAAATACGTGCCCTGTGAGTCAATGAATGAACACAATTATCAAAGACTTATGGTAATGGGGTTCTGATTGCAGGAACCTCCTGTTCGCATATCTGTCCTCTATCACGCTATAGCCCACAGTGTAGTTCTTGTGGTTCTCTATGCGCACTGTGTTTTCTCACTTTAGGTTTCACCACTGTGCTGCCTGACTGGAGCAGATTCCTCTCTCTAACCACCTTTACTTCCTTCTTCCTTTTAGCATTTCGTTTAGATGACCCTCCTCAGGAGCTGGGTGAGGTGCTGCAACATATAACATGCATCCGACTCTACTGGAGTTGCATGTTTGGCTTGCTAGACTAAAAGCATCTTGAAGGTAAAAAGAGTGTCTTACACAGCTCTGTACCCTCAGTGTCTAGCCCAGAGCATGAGACAAAATAGAAGCTAACATGTCTGCTGAATTAATAATGAATGAATGAGCAACAACAGAAATGTGAAAAAATAGAAAGGAGAGAGGAGCAGATAATGGCAAGAAGGGGTTGAAAAGCAGTCCTCTGCCTTTACCTTGAGAATACAAAGCACAATCTTATACAACAATTAAATTGATTTTGATTCCAGTGCCCTCCAATGTGGACCATTTGGTTAGATATTTGTTGTTCTGAGAGATTAAAGGTAAGGAATAAGTTGGGTAGTGTAGATTGTTCAGTTAAGAGTATGAATGACTAGAAGTGAGAGGTAGCGTCATGTGTGGGCGTTGTCCCAGTCATACAATGGGGAGCACTATGGTGGATTCTCCCACTCTACCTGCTAGAACTTATTCCCCACTCTCCCTTAATGCATTCCTTCTCATCTGGTTAAATCTACATATTTACTGACTCTATAAAATACCTTATTAATTTGTACTTTACCACCTTTTCTCAGTTTCCCTCTTTTCTGTTGTTTCTTCTCCCCCTTCTCACATATGAAAATATGATCCTTCAAAGATCAATTCATATTTTTCTGCCCTCAGACTATTCTAAGACATGCAAATGATGTTTCTGCTATCTTCAGAACACCTGCAATATTGCCACCTACACTATACAATCGATAGATGACATAACTATGAATAAGACTGTATTGCCCACTGCTTTCTCCACTCAATTTGTCTCCCAACCAGACTGTAAACTCTTTCAGTTCAGACTGTAAACTCTTTCAGTTCAGACTGTAAACACTTTGGACTTTTTATACTCCTTTATGGCACCTGCCCTTATAACATGCTAGTTACCCCATGAGTAATTGATTGAGAAAAATGGGTTACTAGATAGCTTTTATATATATGTATGTAACATCATCCTCAGACAGCTATCTGATTATCCTACCCAAATATTGCTTTTAGGGCATCCTGATTTTATAATTTTATATGGATATGTGTATGTAAGCATAGAAATGGTTATAGTTAAAGATGTAAATATAGAGAAGTAGAAAGAGCTCTTTCATTGTTTTTTTGGACACTTCAAGAAGTTCTTAAACTTGCAAGCTTCTTTTCTCTTCTTTCTTTCTAATAGGGCATGATAAACAGTTGTTTACTGCCCTTTGGATAATGGACTGTCACAAACACTACTTCTGGTTTCCTCCTTTCTTGGCTAAACAACCTTAGCCCCTTTAGACATTTAAATGCCATGAACAGATGCTCAATAATATTACTTGGTGGTTAGCCGTAATTTATAGTGCTTATTTATGGAAGTAGATGAAAACAGAAGCCTTACGTATTTTTAAACTTTTCTTTCACATATGGCATACTTTAGAGAGAGTGAGGATTTGGATGAATGGATAGATGAATGCAGCTAATATTATCATTTTGATCTCATCTAAAAGCGGGGAAACATAGGAAACATTAGAAAGAAAGCTAAAATGTACAAGATGCTATTTTACTATTAACTCAGACTTTTCTTATGCCAGATGGTGTTGGAGGAAAGCTTTTGTTTTCTTGATGATAGGCATTTCCTTTGAATTTTGCTAACCAGACACATTTCCTCTCTTTTCAGTATGCAGAGACACAGCAACCATCTTTTAAACACCTCTTAGATACAGTAACTGGTTTGGCATTTCCTGGTGACTGTGGGTCTGACAATTGCTCAGAATTTCATCACTGCTTCAGTCATATGTAGAAGATGCTCCCAGAGATAAGCATGAGACCCCCATCAGTAGAGTTATTTTAGGCTTAGCATTACTAAAACAGCATCAAATTCTAATTGGACCTACCAGACTTAATTTAAGGAGCTATAGTGGACTAACACCAATGTACTGTGACATCCAAAATATCAACACAACATTATATGTAATCACAAATGTGTGTTTGTGTGTGTGTGTGCATGTGATGTATATGGTAGAGGGGAGGGCAATGTGGGTGCGGGCTGGTGGGCTGAAGACATCTTTAACCTTGCTTTTGTACTATACCAGATAGGTCTTGGTACTGCCCCTCAAGCAAGGCCTAAGAGTATAAAAGGGGAAGGGTAACTAAATAAGCAAAAGAGATAGAGGTTGCCATGCTAGTAAAACTAGATCTTGAGATGTTGGGAAACTGAGAGGTCAGTTAACACAACTTCTTACTTGATGGGGAATGCCATTTCCATTGTCATCAGTGAATATCAACTATCCTTGAAAGGCTATATTAAAAGATTATAATTTATTTTGCAAAAATAAAGACAGAGAAAGAAGAAGAATTGAAACTATTAATTTTCAATTAACAGTTGGGAAGGTTAAAGATAGGGATGGATTTAGTCACCTATTAGCAGAATGTCAGTCTTAAAGGCACTTCTTGAGGCTGAGAGATGGGTTTGTGCTTGTGGCATTTAGCTCGGCAGGATAGAATGTAAATTACACTTCTTGCCCTAAGAGCTGGATTCTAGCACAGGCTCCATCATTAGCTAGCTATGTAGCACTGAGCTACACACATGACTTCTCACCAGTAAAATGATCAGGTAGGATTAAACGATTCCTAAGTTCTTTTCCAGCAAGAAATTATGTGATCCTAGAGAAAATATTTACTTCTAACAGTAGATCAACTGTAGTACTGATGTGAATCTCAAGCTTTCTATCACATTCTCCTCTACTGAAAATTATATCATCATTGTGTCTGCCTCATAGGCTTGCTCCATATCTTTTTCTCTGAGCCCTGCATTTTTCTTTATAAGATTATCTTGCTTCCAGATTCCTCCCACAGACTCGGTGTTGGATTAGAGAGGTATTAATGTTCACAAGGATGATTCTAAGGCTATTATGTATCTTTTCCAGATTATATACTGCACAAGGGTACCCAACTGAAGGAGCAAGTGGGAGCTGCAAGCAGGGTGCCTTGGGTGGATGCATCCACCTGAAGGCAGGCATGCCTATTGCTAATCCATTCTAGGGTATTGGCTTAGGGTATTCTGAAAAGTGGGATTCACCCATTTGTTCTATGATCTGAACAGGTCTGAAATATACCAACGCTATTAGCATTGACTCTCCAATGCCGGACATATATCACAAAACCAATTACAAGAGACTCTGGGGTTAAAAAAGAGATGTTACATATCGGTTCCTCTTAAGGGGCAAAACATTCCAAGACAGCTCAGATTAAACTTTTGCATGACCTATTTTGTGGGAATAACAGTACATTATCATGGGAGAACACATTTTTAAGTGAAATTTATTGGATAAAACATCCTCCAGGCGAACTTGCACTGAATCCCTGCTGAATGATCTCAAATGAATAAAACAAATTATATACACTGCATTAGGCCTTAGCATGTATAGTACCGTCAAAAGGAGATTCAAACACACTCTGTAGATGCCCTGCCTGGCAGGAGAAGGCAAATCTCATTGAGGCACTTGTTAGTAATCCTTCTCTCTCATGAAGAATTTGATAGACTTTTCTGCAGATATTCAGCAACTTATTTGGGGTTTGGAGTGAAAATGTGGTGTAAAAGGCTGCCCTAAAGTTTCATGGAAAAATGTAAATTGTGTGAGTTTTCTTCCAAATCAAATCGGACTGAAAATGGCTCCCACAGTTTCTTCCTTCAACCATAAGATGTTCCCATTAGTGCCAATTAATGCTGAGACCCTGGCAATCTGTGTGCATGATTCATTAATGAGGAGCCTCATTTACAGTTGAAAAAGTAACGCAATGGAGCAACTGCAGTAATGTCCTGCTTTTTCCACACTGACCCATGCTCTGCCAACTGCTGACCTCTCCCCGCAGAGAAGATTTCCTCCAGCTGGTCGATGGCAGCATATGCACAAGGCACAGTGGACATGGCAACGATGAAGGTGAAATCTCACCTACCATCCCAACCTCCATGCTTACTTGAGACCAAACATGATGCTGAGATTCTCTTTCTTCTTAAATGAAATGTCTAGTTTAATTAAGGAAGGAACAGAGAAGCTGAGACCTCTATTACTCTACAGCACATTGCTTTTCTACAAGGTATCCACTTCATCAACACCCTCTAAATCTGTAGAATATCCTGCTATCCTCATTACTAACATGACACCAAAAAACAAATGGGCTCAATTAATTTGTAATGCTGCTCTGTGTGAGAGATACTGGTTTTTACAATATAAATATATATGTACATCTTTTTAATTTTGCCTGAGTATTTCACTGCAATGACTGATGATGGTTATTTATTTAACTGTAACAGTCAAATCAACTTTTCCCTCTATCTAGTTGCATCCTTCCTATTCTCCAACCTAAACAGGGATAAATAAAAGAAGGGCCTGGAATTCTGGGCACCAGCCAGTGTCCCAAATCTACTGTAGCCAGAGAGTAGGGAGAATGCAGCCTCAAGTCTAGAAAGCCAGGAAACACTAACCCTCTTCAAAATGAGAAAGTGACTTTCTCTGCCTTGGAGGGAAAAACACACCAGGCCCAGCTATCTCTTTTTTCCATGAACTTAGCAAGCATTTTTCTCCCCATTCCCACTCTTACTGCTCATAGCAGAAAACATGACACACTTATTAGCAGGGTCATTTTAAATACTGTATTGCTTAAAACAGCATCAAATTCTAAACAAAAATCTGTGGGTTTTCATTTTCATTTTTAGTTTATTTCTAGTGGGAGCTGGGCTAAAATATAATTTTATACTTTCTACAAACAACAGTGTAAGTAACAATGAAGAGGAAATGTTTATGCTGCTGATATGGTTTGACTCTATGTCCCCACACAATTCTCATCTCAAACTGTAATCCCCATGCGTTGAGGGAGGGACCTGGTGGGAGGTGACTGAATCATGGGAGAGGTTCCCCCGTGTTGTTCTTATGACAGTGAGTTTGAGTTCTCATGAGATCTGGTGGGTTTCTTTTTTTCTTCTTCTTCTTCTTCTTCTTTTTTTTTTTGAGACAGAGTTTCTCTCGTCATTCAGGCTGGAGTGCAGTGGCGCAATCTCGGTTCACTGCAACCTCTGCCTCCTGGGTTCAAGTGATTCTCCCACCTCAGCCTCCTGAGTAGCTGGGGTTACAGGCGCCCACCACCCCCCCTCCCCCAGCTAATTTTTGCATTTTTAGTAGAGATGGGGTTTCACCATGTTGGCCAGGCTGATCTTGAACTCCTGACGTCGGGTGATCTGGCGGTCTTATAAGTGGCAGCTTCCTTGCTCACTCTCTCTCCTGCCACCATGGGAAGATGTGCCTTGCTTCCCCTTCCCAATCCGCTATGATTGTAAGTTTCCTGAGGCCTCCCCAGCCATGTAGAACCGTGAGTCAATTAAACCTCTTTTCTTTATAAATTACTCAGTCTCTGGCAGTATATTTATAGCAGTATAAGAACAAACTAATACAGCTCCTAAGCAGAATCAGCTGTTTTCCACATCTTTTAGCAATAGTACATTTGATCAATATCCCTTCTGAGCCATTAACAAGCATGTGACCTTGAACAAGTCTCTAAACCTCTATAGGCCTCAGTCTGCTCATCTGTAAAATGAGACCACTGGATTAGATTTTCTCTATGGATCCTTATAGCTATAAGAGGTTATGATCCTGCACATGAATTGCAAGTGACTCTTACATAGGTGATAAAAACCACTGGCCCAACACGCTATTGAAATGAAGGCTGTTTCTAGCTTTTTCTCTCCTGGATGAAGATGGAAATAACAATCATTATCTGGGGCCTTGGGGGCTACTTGCTTGCACTCAGGCTTTTTGGAAAGTTGAAAAGCATTAATTGGTTATCTTCTGGGTCTAAATCTACTTCAAAATTGATTAGAAATGTTGCATTTTCTCTGTGAGATTCAGCAGTGGCTAGGTACTCAAACGAAGTTATTGTTAAACAAGGAAGCATAGTCCTGCTCTCTGGAGGGATCAAACTAAAACGAACTTCATTCCTACTTAAGCCTCTGGTAATTTTCTAGAGTATGAAGGGACCAAAAATTAACCAGGCAATTAGACATTTCTCATATGTTTAACTAAACTGAAGCACCATATATATCTCATAGAGTTAGGATGATGCTGGGTAAAACGTATTAACTGTACTATCCAACCCAGGTAAGTTTACTCATGAGGCTACATACTCTTTAGGTTTATAACTTGTCATTCATTTAAAAATATTAATATCTGCAAGGATTCATTGGCTACAATGCCTTTTATTTTGTATAAGGCTGTGTAGTCAGATTAAGCAAAGGTTAATAGCACCAGTTTGTTCTTTTCAGAGAAAGGCAAAAGCCTTTGGACTTATGGACAGAAATTACACAGGGTTAACTGTATCCTTACAAACCTCTATGGAAAGGGATGACAGGACTTTGGCTTCATTCCCTCAATCGCTATATCAATAGAAGAAGTGTTATAATTTCATTTCTTGGACAACCTATTCAGATAACCTTTCACACAGAATTATAGCTTCTATTAAAAATGTGTATCCTTTCCCAAAGCCTTTTTACTCTCTTGTTTTAATATGAAACAATTGAGAGTTATAACAGCACATTGGGAAAGAATTATTATCCTTGTCAACATCCTTAGGGGACTTGATTAATATAAGAACCTCTTCTTCCTAACTAATGATACTACAGGCTGCAGGAGCATTCCCCAAACAATTGTGTAATTCAAGTCCTTTGTATCTGCTGTGTATCTGACAGATTGGTCAATAGCTTCTGCTGAAGAAAAGTATTCCTCTCAATTTCAGTCACAAAGCAACCTCTAAGGAAATTCTCAAGTCTCATAAGTAGGCTGGACTTAGAACATCAGGCTCACCTGTGACACCTCTGCCTCAACAGAGATGTTGAATTCCAAAAGATGTTGAATTCCAAAGAGGAGGCTTTACAAGGAAATCTGGAGGATGAATGACAGAGAAAGGTCAGGTACTGTGGTACAGAGAAAGACAGGTAAATGGTAAAAATCTTAAATTATTTTTATATGATGATACAAGGAATAACAAGCTATTGTATATGGAACACTTTCTTTCTGCCAGCTAATTTTCTAAGTGTTTTACAAGTATTAACTCATTTAATCCTCACCTCAACCTTATAAGGTAATGTATAGGACTACAATATGTAAACAGTTTTCTCTACTACTATTTTACTTAATGTTGTTTTGTTTGAATTTTCCTATATCCTTTCTTTCCATTTGATATGTAAAAGCTGTTGACTTTCATCATTTACGTGATCTACGACTTCATTCACTCATCACAAACTTGGCTTGAAAGTTTCCTCTTTGCCAAGAAAGAGCAGAGAAGCTTCCAAATATATAATAGGGGATGAGTAAAGGATGAGCATAGATTTTATTGTAGTTTCTCAATGGTGTCAATTGAGTTGTGTGCCTTTGCTTTGGTAGAGCAGTAGTTATGTTTTCGACTGTGCCAAAATGGCTAATGATAGATTTGGTGTCCAGTATGGACTGAACTGTGTGCCCCTGCCTCCCAAATGTATGTGTCCAAGTCCTAATCTTCAGTACCCCAGAATATGACTATATTTAGACATAGGCATTTAAAGACTAAGGTTAAAAGAGGTCATATTGGTGGGCTCTAACCCATGAGACTGTATTTAGAGACAGGGCTCTCAAAGAGGTGATTAAATTTAAACAAAGCCATTAGGGCAGGCCCCTAAGCCAATCTGCCTGGTGTGTTTATAAGAGGAAATCTGGTTCTGAGGGAGACACTGGGGGCACACACAGAGGGATGACTATGTGAAGAGGCAGCAAGAATGAGGCTATCTGCAAGCTAAAGGTCTCAGAAGTAATCATACCCTGCCAGCACTTTCACCTTGGACTTCCAGCCTCCAGACTTATGAGAAAATAAATTTTTATTGTGAAGCCACTCAATCTGTGGTATTTTGTTATGGCAGCCCTAGCAAATACAGTATAGAGCAAAATGCAGGCTTTAGCTGTTTTTCATTTAACCATTTCCCCTTTAATTAGTTAAAATAAACTTGTATTAACGAAAAAGCAAATCTTGATAAGCCTTTAGAACACATGTCGAAAATGGCCAGTCAAACTCAGACCATATGTACATAAATAATTTAACCCTGGCGATTTAGTAACACTTCCGAGAGCCTATGGGAAGTGTCCAGCCAAGAAATGGTGATATTTACATATCTTACTAAGCAGCATTTGGTGTTCCTCAATCCTAGGAACTACTGGAAATTGTAGCATCCCATGACCATGGGCATCTGTAGGTCCATCCACAGTGCAGCGCAGAGCAGTAACAGCACAGAAAAATATCTTTTAATTGTCTTGCCTTTCCATGGCATAGTTGGGTCTTGAAATCAGTTACCTTGATGCCAAATCTTTACTTTTTTGGTATATAGGCTTTAAAATGTTTAGAACATACTGACATTCAAGTATTTATTAAATTGTAATTTTATGTTGTATATTTATACTGTGCTTTCGGTAGTGGAAGTAGATCTGAGAGAGTATTGATACTTACCCTTTTTCTTGAGGAAATCTGGGGGTCCAAAATTCTAAATAACTGAGATGGGTCATCTAGTCACATTATTATGCTGAGTGCTCCTTATGCATCTTGGAAAATAAGGCCCATTTCAAAATAATATCTTTTAAAATTTTGGCACAAGTTTTTATGACAGTGTTGATTAAAAACTCAAAAAAGATAAAAGCATATGCTGTCATTTTAAAGCACAGATGTCTCCCTTCAGAGAAATCACATGCTCTCTCTCTCTCTCTCTCTCTCTCTCTCTCTCTTTCTCTCTGACTCTCTCTCAGACAGTGCCTTTGGTTATCCATTGAGGAATATAATCATTTCCAACATTGAGAAAGGTTTTCTTACATAGATGATCTTAATCTCTAATGTAGCAGTTTGTCTATTTCTTCCTTTTAGGTCTTCAGCA